GCGGGGTTGGCACCGGGCAGGACCCGGGGAAGCTGGGGGAGCACCGAGCGGGACCCAGGGGACACCCGGCAAGGGGCAGGAGAACCGGGGCGCACCGGGCAGGGAGGGGAGGGGCTGGGGGGGCACCGGGGGGGACTCGGAGCAGACACGGGGGGAGAATCCAGCAAACGGCCCCGGAGCCGGGCACCGGGGGAGCTTTAGGGGGACACCGGGGGAGGGTGACGGCATCCACTGTGTGCCACCAACCCCCCCAGCCCAGCAGGCAGGAGGGTGCTGGTGGGGGTCCCAATCCACCCCCGCACTTGCTTTGGGGTGTCCCGAGAGGGGAAAATCTGGGTCCCCTGGAAAAAGCCACTTGACTCCTTGGATGTGCCGAATGGCACCTTCCCCCCCCCCAACCCGGGGGGGGGGGGTACCCCCATGTGTTGGAGCAGATCGTTCCCCTCCCTTCGTGGCGCAGCTTTTTTTTCCTTTGCCTTTTCCCACCATCAAAAACCTGCCACCTCCCTCGTTTACTGGTGTTTTATGGTCACCCCAGATGGTTTTGGGGTGCTGGGTTTCCCCCCCCCCTCTTTTTTTATAGGGCTTTTGCCTTCCTTCCCCCCCCTTCCTCCTAATTCCCAACCCTTGTTGGGTTTTTCTGGAAACGCCACGGTTGCTCCGAAGGGAAACATCCCTTGACGTTCCTGGGGAAGGAGAGGCCTTTGGGGAGAGGAAACAGCCCCGAAAAACAAAGGCAGCAGCATTTCCTCCCGGCGGGACACTGGGTGGGGGGCTCTGCTCCTGAGGCCACAGGGGTTTTGCTCCTTGAAGGTGTTTTTTAATATTTTTTCCCATGGTAAAAGCTTCTTAAAGGGTGTTGGGATGAGGCACGGGGGTCGCTTTGGCTTTAAATCCCACCAGGATGCTCCTTCACCGCATCCTGACGGCGTTAGTTTGTCCTGGGTCATGAGGGATCCTCCACAAAAAAAGTCCTGCTTGAGTCCTGGGTTGTGATGCCTTAGGGATCAAGAGTAGAAAACAGTGAAAAGACACTTTTGAGCCCCAAAATCGGGTGATTTTCCTTGAAGTTTGCTTTTAAACACCCAGTGGGATCCATATGGGATTGCGATGGGAAAAGAGAAACGAGGGGTGATGCTCAGCGTTCCCAATCCCATCCCCGTCCCCAGTTCCCTTCCCAATCTCCATCCCAACCCCATTCCATTCCCCTTCCCATTCCCTATTCCCAATCCCATCCCATTCCTCTTCCTATCCCATGCCCTCGCCGCCTCCTTCTCCCACACCAGGGGTTAAAGCCTGTTTCTATCTATAGCGAAGTCACATCATTTTATTTTATTTTTTTTTTTAATTATTTCTTTTTCCCCAAATTTGGCCTCTCCAGAGGATATGGCGCTTTCTGCCCCCACCCCCGCCCCAGGGTCGTGAGAAAAGCTGCTGGGGATTTTCCCAAGGGACGCGGCTCGGCATCTCCCATCTGCCCAGTTAAAAATAGTTGGAAACAAGGGAAGGGGGAAAATTAAAAAAAAAAAAAAAAACAGATAAAATAATTAAAAAAAAAAAAAAGCCGGGTGACTCTGTCACGTCGCGGAGATGCTCCTTGACCTTTTTCGGAGGTTTTTAGGGGTATTTATTCCCAGACAGATTCCTACTGGGGATTTTACGTCCCGAGCTGGGGCTCTCGGGATTTCATTTGGGTCTGGGTTTCACATGACTCCAGCGCCTTAATCCCATCGAGCAGGGTCATCAAACCCCGGCCGCCTCCAGCCCATAATACTCCAGGGGGTTAATAGCTTATAGGGTTCAGCAGGGCTGGGGGGGGATGATTTTTTGGAAGGGGGGGGAGTGTCAGGCTGAGCCTTGAGCCAGGAAAACGCTTTTTGGGGGTAAAAAGATGTGATTTTAGAATAAGAATAGGGTTTAATCTGGGGTCGGGGATTAATATTGAGGTTGCTCTCGGTGCGCTGGGACTGAAAGGGATTTTTTCACCAAAGAAAAAAAAATTAAGGGTATTTTTAAAGGTATTTTTTTCCATAGTGAAAACATTTGAAAGTTAAATTTAAAGGTTTTTTGTTTTTTGGGTTTTTTTTTTCTAGGGAAAAAAATTGAAAGGTATTTTTAAAGGTTGTTGGTTTTTTTTGTTTAAATAGTTTATTCCATAGGGAAAAATTGAAAGGCATTTTTAAAGGTAAATGTGAAGGTATTTTTTCCCCTAAGGGAAAAAAACATTTCCCCTAAGGGAAAAAAAATTAAGGGTATTTTTAAAGATTAATTTAAAGGTATTCTTTCCATAGGAAAAAAAATTAAGGTAAATTTAAAGGTATTTATCCCCTAGGGAAAAAATTGAAAGGTATTTTTAAAGGTAAATTTAAAGGTATTTATTCCATAGAGAAAGTGTTTAAAGATTTTTTTAAAGGTAAATTTGAAGGAATTTATTCCATAGGGGAAAAAATGAAGGGTTTTTTTTTTTTAAGGTAAATTTAAAGGGGCTTTTAAAGCTGAATTAAAAGGTATTATTTTTTTTTTTTCCATTGGGCAAAAATCCCAGCAGATGGGCTGGAGCGGAGGGAAAGCACCCGGGCAGGTGCTGAGCTCGGGGCGCTGGATAAACATCAAGGTTTTTCAGCCTGAACAGCAGCCGGGGAGGTCCCGAGGTGTCCTGTCCCCACCGTGTT